AATAGTATGCCTACTGAAAAGTAGGAAGTAGTTTTTTAGTTGTAAAAAAATGCTTGGCCTCACCAATCCTGCTTGCCCAGTTTTTTATTGGGTTACTTTCAATACAACTTGGTGTTTATAACTCCTCTGAGAAGAATCTTGTTATCGACACCAAGGCTGCTGGTAAGAACCTGCTATCAGTTTATTACCTATTATTCCCTTCAAATTGCAGGGAAATGACCTCATGCAAAAGTTACCGGAATCTCGATTTTATTCATTTGCTTGATGAGTTAGCAGTATTCTCACAATAGCAGCACACGGACATTCCTTCCCTGCGGCGCGCACGATCTATGGTCATCAGCAATGATCATGCATTTCAAAAGACCGACTTCTGCTTTGCTTGAAAAATTTACATTTACGACTTTTTAATGGTTTTATATTACGATCGGTCCTCTGTTATACAATTGTATCCATTGGCAGGCCGCTTGTATGTACAGACGCTGGCTGCTCTATTAATAGTTCTTTTTTATTCCCTTCACTATATATTTTTATGTTCGAGACAGCCAACCTTGAGTTTCCTACGAATTTGTCCTGTTGCAAAGAATCAATAGGATATCCAGTAATATCCGATTCTCGAAAACTTGTTAAACCGTTTCTCAAAAGTGTGAGAATTTCAAATAACCTTGTTATGTTACTCCGAGTTAAAGCCGCTTTTCTCGAATAACTTTTGGCCTCTGAGCGATGAGTGGATTTTCGCCTTTTTGACGGAAGTATGTTTAGTGATGTGAAGCCTGAGGTTCGCTCGTTCATTGAAAAACAAAAACTCGAGAGAGAGCAAAGACATTCTGAAAGACAGAGGGAAAATGCTTTAGTTACTATTCAAGTAAGTGGTACCAGGCATCTCCCATACCTACAGAAAAACTGGCGTGGCTATGTTTGCCGCCGCAGATTGCATCAGGAATTTCGGATTTACGTAAAAAAATTCTTAAATTATGCAAAGAGTACTGACGATAAGCAGTTTATTCTTCAGCCCGGTATTTTCTACGAGCCTTCCTTATGTTTAAAGCAACTACCCTTCCCCAGGTCATCCTACGTTTGAAGTACGGTTTCGATATAAACGAAGACCGAATGGTAGGATTGTATGTTTCCTATTTAAGACCGCTAGGTTTTTGAGAGTTTTTGCCGATACTTGATTTACTCCTTAAATTCCGCGGACAAAGAGGTTTGTAGCAGATTATATTCATTTTGTAGTTGTCGTATATATCTTTAGTTTTGCGTCGTGATTTTCTCGTCCAATGGATATCAAACACTCGGTGGATTTTATCGACACTTGTTAAATATTTCAAAATCATAAGCGTAAGCATGTTTTTATTTCAAGCACGATGTCTCTAGCCGTCAAGCGGATCGGACTCGAACTTCATGAACATACTTCTCTCTTTGACACTTATATTGACGAATTCGACTCAGTGGAAAGTAATTGCAGGTAAGCCGACAAAACCTGCACAGCAACTTCTTAGCAGCGGCCACAAAAGTGTTATCTTTCTTCTTTAGCTAGTCGAACTTTCTCTCTAAGCCTTTTTTACCTCTGATAATTCTTCGTTTTCTTGTGCTAACCCTGTTAGACATTGTTCTTATCCTACGAAAGGATTGTATGTCTTGTGTCGTGCTCTAGGCAACTAGCAGTGAGTATTACCCTCTGAACCGATACTTATATCCCGCGTAGTGTAGACTTTTAAATCAAATTACCTCTTTTACTCGAGCCAGACCTCAAAAAGCTTATCTTTGACACGCTAACACAAAAAATGCTTACTCCACGAGACGCTCATAATCAGTTTTCATAGGGAAGACAACATTGTGCGATTTTCAAGTCTTACACAAATTAATTTTTGTTATATCCTAATTTTTATAACATGTTACATGCGATGCCCTATTATTTTAGATGAAAAAATAAAGAATGCAATGACAAAGCTAACAAAGTCGCTCGTTGTTCACTTGGTTTCTTGTGAACTGTTTCCTGCTCTGCAGGTGAGAATCCACTCTGAATATCACTTGTACTGATTTTAGTTAATGCTCAAGAAAGGACTGGCTTTACACATTCCAGTTTTAACACAAATTTCGCTTACGGGCATTTTTTCATTGGCAATGCGGTAAGAACTTCATACTGTCTGTTCTGTACGTTAGCATAATTTGATCTCAGACGATTATCATGACCTTCATTGCAATATGTTCTCCCCGCGTTTATTGATAGCGTTTGTTGTTTGTTCGCGTACTTCACCAATGTTTATATTTTATCCCACCTGAAAAAATAATTTTGCCAATTTACGCCACTTGTATTGGCGTTATTTCTAGCCGACAGTGATGGATATAGTAGGTGAGCTTCGTCTGATCGCTGATCGAATTAAATCAGCAGACCTTGAAACACGTTATCACTGGTGTGTCTAAGGATAAACTGTCAGTGTGTTTCACTTCGGGCTCCTGTAAACCTTGTTTAGTAGATAACTACACTCTGTCATACTTTAATTATACTTATAGGCGGCTAAGAAGTGGACTCGATGAAATTACGTAACACAAATCCTCTTGTGTAGACTAGGTGTGCTTCTAATGAAATAAGCCTTGGTAGTCCAGTATTTAAAAAAAAACCCTGCGCGAAACTAGTATGGTCGCTACATAAATATCATCTTACTTTGTCACGTGCTTAGCAGATAGCCTTACATTTTTTATTTAAAACTTTCTCTCTATTATCTCCGTTTGCAAAGCCTTTTGCCGCATGCTTGCGAATCTATGTTGTTCACGCTAGCGTTATACTATGCTGCAAGTGTCTATCAGACGTGCCAAGGATGGCTGTGGCATCAAAGTTAATCAGGTTTTTTACCATTTTATTGGCCAATAGTTGGAACGTTTCACCCATTATCCGGGTGATTTGTTTTTCTCCAGAGTCTCATACATCTGTTAATTTCATTTCGTTGAAAAATGTGTGTTACCTATCAACACACGTTCTTCCCGCTCTTTGCGTCTTAGGCATATGCACTTTTCCTGCAAATAGGCAGATTGTAGCACTTAATTTTTTCTTTCGCCACAATACAGTTGTCAAGCCGTCAAGAGTTCGGAAAGTTTATTGAGGCACAAGAATATCCCAACGGTGCCAATGGTGAATTGCGTGTTCAGAGTGGTTAACCGACTTACTGTGTTTTTCCGCCCACAGTTTTGGTCTTGTGTTGAAACAGAATTCACAAACTGACATAATGTTGTCGAGCTGACATACCGTACTTTTCTGCCCTGCCCTCAGGTCCTCAATAAGCAAGCTTCCTTATCTGATTTCTATCTACCTCGCAGTCCAATCCACCTTGGCTCGATTATACGTTACTACACAGTTATGTTGTTGGTTTTTATATTCTCTCTAGCCCTTTGCTAGTGACGGACTTCGCAGCGCAGAACTTAAGTCTATTTGTCTTGCACATCTTGTCGGTTCCAGGATTCGTGCTGCACATCAATTCGTTAACACCGGAGGTTAGTGTTCTCCTCATTGCATCTCTTTCCTTAAATATATCTGACATTTCCTGCGAATAACATCATCGTTCGACTTGAAGAGGATTACTTACTTCATACTTAATTTAAAATAGCATCAGTCTTTTCCTATCTGGCATAGTTACTCATTGTCTTCTATGTATCCTTTCTTATATTATTATTCCTGTCATTCAGGCCTACGATGTTTTTGTCCGAGAGCGCCTTTGTTCCCACGTCATTACTTATCTCTCCGAAAGCTCTCAGAACCAAAAACTTATCCTTGACGGCCTTGAAGGCTCCTATGCCCTCTGCCTAATAGGTGAGTACTCTCGTTTCCCTTTTGTTAGTTTTGTTGATTGGCATATGACTTCGAGGTTCCTCGGCCTTTTGCCTGTTTGCCCACTTCATCTACAGTACCAGCCAGGCTCTCATGCTTCATCCCTATTTCGCGCTCATAGGCTTAATATTTAGTCTGGTGCGGTGGTCGGACACGGTTCTAAATACCCTTCTATTATATTAAAAGTGATCATGCATCAAGTTCCAGGAGCGATCAGAGTTAGAGTTTGGCTTAGCGTTAGAGCTAATATGTTTAGCGTTTGGGTTATACTTAGAATTAGAGATGGGACACAGGAATATTTACCTCCTCCCCTCTTCGTGGAATTTACCACAAGGTTCCTTGTAATCCGTGGAAGTATTTATACCTACGTGGAACCTGTGAAGGTTGGACAGAGGAAGACTGGTGGAGAAAAAGGAGATTGACCGAATGCCGTAACCACAACTTCGTTTAAGCATCCTAATTCGCACAGCCATGCGTGTCCACTGATGAAAAATAATGTTAAAACTGACTTCATTGGTTGTTTCAGCCAATTAACATACAATTTTAAGTCTGAGGAACACTTAACGGGGGTCGGCTTGAGGACAGATCGAGGCGCTGCTCTCTTTCGGTCCTGCAGATATTCAAAACTTCGGTTATCGCACAAGGTATCCTGCAATATTTAAGCCTGGAGCCTTCTGGATATGATGTCCATTTAGATGTTGCTGATTGCTTTAGCACCGAGCCAATATGAATTCGTGATTACAGTTGTCCTCCGGTTCGAATTACGTGATCCCAAAGATTCGAATAGTATTACGAAAACAGACGTATCCTTTGATGTTGTAATTTACCATACTGGCAGCACAGGTACTATCTAAAAGCTCTCATACGTGTTTCACCGATATTCTGTCGCTGCTTGACACAGTTGCGAGGGGTCCGGCTCATCAGTGGGTCCCCAGCATTCCCTATTTGCTTTTATATTACCGCCTGCTCGTTGATAGCAAGTTTATGTTACGCGGTTATCCTGCAATGGCTGATAGAGTTCGGCTCAAATATATACATCAAAATTCGGTCTATGCCTATACACCTTGAATATACTAATCTATACCGAAAACGTAAATTATTTTTTAGGAAAGCAAAGAGCTAAACATATGCTCGCAAGTTTACCTTTCGGATTCAAATGATATCGAATTTTGCAGGC